CTAAAGATATCATCTCTCTGAAATCTGTTAACATGTTCTGTGGATTCACGAGATGCCAACAGAGGCAAGTGAATCTACGTCTTTTGTAATTTGGGTGTACCGACCCTTTTAAAGTCTCCCTCTTGCTATATATTGTATCTCTCGGTTTGTATGTCATAATTAGATGTTATTTCTATCTGGTAGTTATATTGTTTTGATACATGCAGATTTAGGGTTACTTGAGCCCCGGATGAATTGTTGGTAAAGACTGAAACTGTTCCAACGACGTGCAATCTATGAGAAATAAAACCATCTCCAGTGTCGTGCGTCTGTGCAGATCTGGGAATGCTTCTGTTTCAATATGAAATGATTGCAAACGTCATTCTGGTCCATTCGCTGCGCTCTGTGTTCGGAGTTCCATCGCCTATTGTTTCACGGCATACTCATGGTTCTGTCTTCTTTTATTTTCTACCAATAGCTCTGAAGAAGTGTTGAGATGCGTTTACAGCAAAGAGACCATGCATGCTATCGGTGGAGGGCTGGGGTACTTGTGGATGTAGCTACAGAGAAAAGGCTTGTATGTAATTATTAGTTATTTTATGTGTACGATCTAATTCAATGAAAGGGATCTTCTCTCCTATCCTCTATAATTCTGTATGCTTTTGTATTACCACAAAATAAAGTAAGGATCCTTTAAGTGCCTGAATTTAGCACTGTTTTGCTGTTTTTATTCCAACTATATATATATATATATATATATATACATATACACATACACAGTATGGATTTATTTCATCTGTTTTTGATTTAGTTTTCTACCATTGGATCTGTTATAATAGTCCCTTAAATAATCATCAGTTACAGATGTTGATTTATCAGATTCATATTGTGCAGAAATGATGGGTTAGTCAGAAAAATAAGGATTTCGATAATCGATTGTTAAGTCATTTGGATTTGCTACATTTTGCATCACTGTAATTTGTATATGTTTGGGCTTTGGACTGTTAGTCTGACAAAACAAGCAGTTTGAGGATGTTACCTTAAGATTTAGGAGTTTTCTTTTTAAAGTCAAGTTTATGTTAAAGATAAATGTCTTGAGTTTAGATACTAGCAATGATTTTAACAAACACATTCAAATATTCATATCAATTTAATAAAGCAATTCCACTTAATTCTATGCATATTATTGATTATTGCAATGGACTATATTTCAGATCATGCCCGGCATTTTCGGACATGACGGTCCCACATAAAGAAATTCAGATTCTCTGAGACAACTTGGCACTAAGAGTACCATTCCTGTTATGAGTTTGAAATATGCATTTTCCTTTGGTTTGATTTCAACACAGGATTTAGGAGTGGTGGTATTTAATGTATTAGCTTCATATCACAATGTACCAGAAGTGTTGTGCAAATAAAGTACACACATGCGTAAATGTCATACAGAAGTATATATAGAGTACATGTGATAGTGAGCATCTTTCGGCACATAACTTCCATTCCAATGTTCCACTTTAGTTCCGGTCACCCGAGGGTCTCAACCGCATCCCACACATGTGGCTTTCTCTGCAGAGCTCCAGTCTTGAATACGACAGCAGTCCACTGACGGTTCAACATCCAACATGTCCGTCAGTGTGTTTGCACAAGCTTACATCCCACTTGTGAGCGGCCATTTCGCCTCCAGTGATGAGGCCGAAGACTCTTCTGCTTTGGCTCTGAACGCCTTACAGTTTAGCGAAAATCCAATTCCTCTTTCGTGTACTTTGATGCCTTGTCTCACTTGATTTTATTCACAGTCTTGTAGTTCTTGATCAGTATTTCCAGCAGTTTGAATCTCCAGAAAAGCCCGTCTCCAACCTGACGTAGCTCATGTGCGCAGTGATCAATCGTGGCGTCAAGATCTGAGGGCAGAAGACACATGGGTTTGAGTATCCATGATCTAATACACAATACATACTTGAAGTTTCTTTAAAACCAGGTTAAGTTCAATCAAATCGTCTCTGTTACTCACCGTGGCCAGCCATTTTCATAGTGCTTCTGCCTGTTCGGAAAAGGGAAGTGAAGCTTTAAAGGTTCAGTTTTTCGTCTCCGTGCTTTTAAAGCTGTGCAGTTGTGTCTCGACAAGAAGGAACAGGTTTGAACTATTGATAGCAGCCTGTGCTTAAATACAGTTGGGTTGAGTGACGTAACTTTACAGCCGAGGAATCCCCGTCAGCCACGGCCAAGTCCCTCCCACATTTAGGCAGACTTCTCTGTTCACAATATTGTTATGAGGCTCCTTTAATCTTGATTACATTAACCGTGTACCTGTTGTATTGTATTGTACACATAGTACAGGACACACACCGGTCCCTGCAGTGTTTGTACATGACGTTTTGATCAACACAAACATGCTGATGTGAGCACATATTGGAAAAATACAATAGAATTGAATTGATTGTATCATGATGTCGTGGTTTGATCATATTAGGACTTTCAGTAAACACAAACATTAAAAACATATGAGGTATGGAATGAGGTCAAGCAAAGCAGGTTTGCATAGAAAGCATAAACAACTCTCCAGCTGCAGTGTGTCATATGAAGCAAGGTTTCAACACGACAGTCCACGTTGTCCAACAGACAGAGGCTGAACGTTAAGTACTAGCTTTCACCTATATAATGCACCATGAAGATCTATTGTATAAGCAGGATTTGAATGCACAACAACAGTTCAGAGGAGCACCAGGGGCTGTTTATGTGTCCTAATGGGCTGATAGTGATAAGACATATAGACACACAGTGGTTGTTATTCAGGAGGTAGAGCACGGACATAACATTATAGTGTCACTTCAGGGATTATGTAAACAGCAAAACTGGATATTCACAATAACCACCATGTCATGTGATCAATAGATTTTTTATTTTAATTTGACAACAAAACATGCTTAACAGAAAACCTCAACACCAGTAAAGAACGATGGTGTTCTTTGTGCAACTGTTGACAATTAAAGAACATCAGAGGTCGACTTTCAAACAGGTATGAAAAGGTATTTCATTCAAACAGCACAGTCTCTCATTAATTAGAGTGGAGACCAAAATACACCATGAGCTGACTAAAAGTTTGTAACGTCAAATATCTATATATGTGCATTGCATTTCATTTAAACTCTTGTGAGTCGCCCCTGAAATAGGATATGGAGTGAACTCTCTAAACTCTGCACAGTGCAGGCATCACGAGCAAGCTGGGGCATGCTGCTATTCCTTACAGCAGAAATGGGGAAGTACCAGGGAAATTACAGTCATATGATCTGAGCGCCAGCAACACAAAAGTGCCATGTAAGGTAAAGTGTGACAGAACGACAGGAGGATTACAAAATACAAAGAGTTGTGAAATGAACCTATTGGTGTACATATAAGGAGAAAGGAGAACGTGAGCAGAAGTTAATCCATGAAAGTATTAAAATCTGGTACGGACATACAGTATATGTGCAAGTTTCTACCAGTACAACTTTGTCATTTTTAGATCACCTGAAACATTGTGTTTATCAAAGGTTTTCCACATGATCCTTTTTACACTGGATATATGTGCATATTTCTTTACTTATTATAAGTTCATAGATATCAAACACCTGATTGTCTGAGGTACAGTCATTTTCTTATCCTGCTATATTATATAAAATAATATTGGAGTATATTGCAAAAAAGAGTCCCATGTGCCCAAAGACAATAAGAAAGCTCACATTTCACTGAGTATAAGTATAATCAGCAAAATGTACTGAAGTATTAAAAGTAATAGCACTTGATCTGCTGAAAAACGTCCCCTGTAACTGATATGCAGTAGGTATTACAATCATAGATACTATTATACTGACAGATACAATGTCACTGTTGCTGGTCAGGATGGAGCTGGTTTTTACTACTTCATATACAGTTTGGGGTTGCATTCCAGTCCAACATCTGAGGAGTTGTGATATGATTAATGAGGCAGGAAAGAATAAAGAGTAGTTTCTTTGGACTTTCCTCTAATCTTTTCTTTTTCTTTTTTGAATATTAGATCATCTTACATCTTCAGGTCTCAAACATTTATTTAAATGAAACCATGTGAGAAGTTTAGAGGGGGATTTGTCTTTTTAACTGCTAACAACTCTTAACTGTACCAGGCTTCTGACATGTACCAGGGGCCCCAACCCCAAATGTTCAATCTTAAACGAAGCATAATATAAGCATTTATAATGCACTTTGAAGTATACATTGAAAATTAACTGTCATGTGAATATAGTGGAGAAAAGCATGTAGTGGAGGACAAACTAGTTTATCTGATGTGCACAATGCTCACATGGTTGTAAAAGGTGCGGTCCTCGCTGCTGATAGCAGTGTTGGAAAAACGTCACCCAGGTCGCCTTTTATGGCCACATCTTACATAGTAAGAGAGAGAAAGAGAGAGAGAGGTTGTTCTCAATAAGAACATGCTTATCAGAGTCATTTGCACATATTTAATGCTTAGTCAAGTGATTCAGCATGTCAACAAACATTTGTGTTGTTGTTGTAAGGAAAATGTATTGTGTAAGATTTCTCTGGAAATAAATGACCTGCCTCCTCCACCACAAAGAACATGACAGGCATACGGCTCCATTAAGTGTGTACATCTTTAATTCAAAAAGAGAGTACAAGCAAAGTTTTCAATTATGCTGATTCTTGCAGAATTAAACTGCAAAAATAAAGGCCATAAATAAGCTTACTTTTATTGCTACTTTTACAAAGATTTTACAAAATCTGAATACTTCTTCCATCACTGAGCATATTCCATTCTATTCTATTTTGTGTTTTTTACTTCAAACCTATAAACCCTGTACATACCTCCATCAATCACCAGATGGCAGCACACTCAAATTCAACTTCTATCTATCTATCTATCTATCCTGAGCGACAGAAGTTACATGGCAGAAGTTTATATTTGTCACACTGCGCATGCGTCCATTGAAAGGGTGCCCAGCCCACATTGTTACTGTTGCTTTAACAACCAAACTGATTCAACACTTTCAGTCAGCTATCAGACCTGTCCACACTCTCCTCTTGTCCTTTACAATTATGAAAAATCTACATTTTAAGGATTTCTTCTGGGTGAGTGTCTGTTTTGGTGTTTTTTATTCATTATTATTTTTCAGTAATATATCATCTTGGTCGAAAAAAGTAACACTATCTCGGAAAATCAATCATGAAAAGGACGTGTTGTGCTAATTGTAGCTAATTTCGCAATGTTTCAATGGAGTTTCTCTTTCTATTCAAGTGGACCTTTTATTATTATATATTATATCACTTATTTTCTACTGGTGCATGAATGTGTAAATAGCATTTTATTGTTGTAGTTTGTTGAGGTGGAGCAGACTTTAATCTTACACTGTTGGGGAGATTAATCTCTGGCAATGAGCCATATTCTGTAAACTGATAGTGTGTTTTGCATGTCATGTTGCAGACCTTTATCTGCAACATATCCACAGCTGTCAGATACAGCTGGTGTATTAAAGAACAGTATAGAAAAATATTGAAATGTAGTGAGGTAGAAGTATAAAGTGGCATATGGAAATACTCAAGTAAAGTACAAGTACCTCAAATAAGTGCAGTGCTTAAGTAAACGTTCATAGTTACATTCCACCACTTGCTTTATTAAAAAAGTAAATCCCCTTATAGACTCTTGTATCATTGTATTAGTGATGCAGTTACATGGCTTCATATCTATTATAGAGAGAGAAAGTCAATAACCCGCTGGTTTTGACATCTGCAAGGTGAGGATGATTATAGGCTGGTACGCTCAGCTTACCTAAATCATGGAGAAGTACAATTCAAAACATCAATTTACATCTCTGTGGCAAAGACCTTAATGTTTAAGTGTTTATTTATGTCTGTGTGTGGCGTGGTCTTGGGAACTCCACCGTGAGAATCGAGACAGAGTTTAGACAGTCTGTCTGTCTCACAGAGTGGAAGTAGAGGTGGTGGTATGATAGCAGCTATAGTCCCCTAATGTCTGTTAGGGATCTGTTTTGAAGTAATAATATTCTAATAACATATATCCATAAACTGGACATATAATCGAAACAAGTAACCCCCCGCTTCACTACAATTCATAACACCGAAGAAGATGGCCAGAATGAAATATTGTCCATGTTATTGACAGAACTCTGACCTGACCTGCACTGGTGGCTATGACGCAATCATCCTGTATCTCAATGATGGCAAGAGGACGTGCAAGGAGGTGGAGGATTTCATGAAGGCTAGGTAATGACATGATCTATAGCAATATCAGAATCAGCTTTATTGGGCAACTATGTGTTCACAAGGAAGGAATTTGACTCTGGTTTTAAGTTGCTCTCAATGTACACACAGAACAATTTACAGCAAGGTAGAAATAGACAAGCAGCTAAAAACAGGGCCAACAAATTAGCAACAGATGACAGAAAACTGGTTTGTACATACAAGTAGCTGAAAAAAAAATCTTTACAGTTAATTGTATTTGCAAGGTTTAAGAGAGTCAGATGAAGAGAGTAAGGTGAAAATGAAAGCTGAGGAAACAGTGAACTGTTAGTAAAGGGAATTGAGTCAGTTAACAAGTCCAAGACACAAGAACGTTTGTGGGTGGACATGGGCCAATCAAAGACTGCCATCAAATGTCTCTTGAGGCTGAAGTCACTTAGTTCACACGTTGATGCACCAGAAATCGGAAGTAAGCTTTAGTGACAAGAATGAGAGGAAGAACAGCGTGAGTTTTATTGACAGCATTGAAATCAGATGAGGAAATGCACACACAAGGTTTTCTTCAGTTTCTGAAAATTTCAAGAATGTTATAGCATGCTGTATTTAGTTGGTCTGTAATATAATGTGAGGTTTGACCTTTTTTCAGTGCCACTTCAAGGAAACTATACGAGAATATATTCGAATTAGCGACAAATAATTTGCTGGCAATAGCTTACAATTGGTCGATGTTATTGTATAAACAGCTGCTGTATATATAAACCTGCAAGGACATATTAATAAATGCCAGAAAGCTTCAAATGCACTACTTTCTACAACCCAAAATAATTGTTTCTTATAATTTATTGCATTTGAAATGAACAGCCACACTCCAGTTTGATTACAGTAATATTCCGGAAGGGGTTTTCTACTTTTAGATTAAATCCAAAAGTAAATTAGCATTCATTCCTGCACACTACTGCATTGTGGTAGACCCATAAATAGATTCTTCTTAGAGGAGGAACAGAGCAAGTGTGTGTGAAAGATCATCAAGATAGATTTTATAACGGAGTCATAAAAAGTTCTACATTTGAATTCAGATTTCCTCCTTCCTCATATGATAAGTAATCTGTCCCCTTGAGTTGGCAGCCATGTGACATACGCTTTGCCTTTCGTTTATTTGCTTCGACTGAAGTATAATAAAACACACAGCTAAGGATATTTCACAATAACATAACTGAAACTTTCCTCATGTAAGAATGAAAAGCACTTTTAAAGCCACAAGACACAAGAGTTCCTCAAATACTGTCACACACTTATCTCAGTGTCACACTCACACACAAGGACACACGTGAGAAATATTATTTGGTATGTCGTAAGAAACCCAATTTATTTACGTCAGTTGAGGTTTATGTCTGGAATATACGTATATATACAATAAATACATAAATAAATAATACATATAATGTAAATAAAGCAAATATGTAAAAATGATAGAATGTATTGTGGACATATAATGTGCATCATATTCACTTTAGATTTACAGAAGATCATACCAGAAATAAATAATTTACAGAACATGGCCCATTGGATGAGGGACTACATGTGTGCTACGTGTCCTATCACAATATGTGTCAACATGTCTCCTCACACAGAAAGCCTGTGTGGTGTATTCTGCAAATTGCACCTTCTTGTTTGATTTTCTGTGGAGTTCCTGATTATCCAAACTCAATAGATGAATTGATAAAGAAATCAGGTCATTAGAAATAAGAAATTAGTCCCAACAGTTATTTCCTGGTTTCCTTACTGCCCTGACTTTTTCCAAACATGTATGAATGCTTTTGATTTTAACGTACTACAGGGCGCAAGGTTGTTTTGAATCTGCACTCCCATGTATATGATGTATGTCAATATAAATGTAGTCATAAATTCATATTTGATGTGAGCATTTGCATGAACTATTAAAGGATTATCTTATCTTATCTTATTTATGACGTCTGTTTCTAAACATGTCCACTGGCTGAAAACAATGACCAAGTTGTGTGTAGATAACGGGTTGTTTCTGGATGTTTCTTTTCAGGGCATCAGTTGAAGAGAAGTACGCCAAAGATCTCCTTGGTTTGTCCAAGAAGGTGTGTGGACACAATGAGATGAAGTAAGCAACCTCAGTGCTGAGATGCTGTTACTATGTGTTTGACCACATCTATTTACAGTGAGCCTCCGAAAAACGAAATGAGTGAGTCTCTGCAGAACTGACATTAATGCCTATTAGTTTGGATGCAGAAACAGTGAAAGTAGATCATTTTGACTTTGTGGTTCACAGTTTGAAGGTAGAAACGTGGATTTCAATTTTTGCTGTAATTTCTCACTTTTAATGTTGCTTTTAGTCTGTCTGATTGTGTGTGTCGGTGTTTACTTGCGGTTTCTGCTTCAGTAAGTCCAGTTCCCATTCACATGATCAGTGTGACTTTGTCTCTGCTGTTTGTTTCTGTTTCTGAAGAGGAAGGAGGACCAATGGGGGAGAGGGAAACACAATTATTTACTTAGTAATAGCTTGGTAGCTTATTAATACCTGGTAAACTGTGTTTTTTGTAAACAAACAAAAGTTATGTTTACATTCAGTGTTTCTCACCGAAAGGCATTATGTGTACTCTGGAAGTATCTGCAGGTTTTGTAAGTCTGAAAAAGTAAGAACAAATTCATTTTAAGAAAGGCAGTATAAGGTATTTTAAAGCCTTTCTGAATCCATCCAATTATTCTGGTCTAGGTTGCATTCATTTCATTAATGAAATCAATCAGGAAAGTACTGAAAAAGTGAAACAATAATTAATAATTGCAGAAACCCTGCTTGAGCTCTAACAGACATGTTGAGGGCATTTCCTTCCTTGTAAAATATTTGTAAAGCTGATTTTCTTTTTGTTAGTCGTGAAACTGACTTTGTGCATAATACATGCAAATCGAGGAGCCATCCATAAAGATATAGCTCCAAACTGCAATGTCGTGGATTTTAAAGTGTCTTATGGATAAACTGAAGTTGTGTAAAATGTTATCTTCTTTTCTTTTGCTTTCTAAGCACATTAAAACGATCCCTGGACATGCTCAAATTACGTAAGTACTTAACATTTTTGATAACGCCTCCTTTCAGCCGCCATTATTTACTGTTTGTTTTAGTTTATGTTTTCTGTTTTCTGTTAGGCTCAGAATATGAATCTTGTTTTTTTTGCCCTTGCAGAGACTGAACATGTGAGTCTATCACACTTACAACTGGCTCAGAGCATGAGGGAGGAGGCCAAGAAACTGGAAGAATTCAGAGAAAAACAAAAAGAAGCCAGGAAAAAGGTTGGCGCTTTCATCAGCGCTGTGATGCACCGAGCAGACTGTGGCAGCTCTGCAAGTTGTTGACTCGATGCAACATTGTCATTTCAGATGGAACAACAGATGGATGTTCTCCACAAACAGAAGTCTACACATTTCAAGAAGACAATGGATGTAAGTAAACATTTAAATACAGAGTTAACCATTTACAGGCTCAACATAAGATTAATTACTTCAAGGCCCCTTTTAGACTTTCCCTCGAGAAATTTTCTGTTTCTTTTTCTTGTAATGTGTTATTAATAAGCTGAGCTGATAAGCATTAATGATGAACAGTAATTGACCTACCAAACCAAAGCCAAAACTGCTATCTATATCTAAAAGCCTGAAAGTGATAGTACCAAGCCTATTTTAGTCCATTCGTGGTTCATGTCAACCAGGAATTTCTTGTGAAAATGGTGAAAATTCATGTTATTCCTTCCCTGTGCTTCCTCTTTGGATGGGGAAGTTGTGTTAACGACTCTGGGAAGTGAACAAAAGCGCCATTTAATACCATCAGAGTCATTGCCAAAAGAAGAAGTACTTGTGTAACAATTAAATGTAAATGAAAATAAGCCCAGAGTAGAGAACACCGCTGACATCCTTAGTCAAGCTCTGTTGGTGCTGCTGTCTTTCTTTACTTGTTTCCTCAACGTTTTGCCTTTTCCATCATTTGTGGTGATGAACAGTTTACAATTCATCAAAAAGCTTTAACGTTAACTGCGATGCTGTCCCCAGTCAAAGAAGACATATGAGCAGAAATGCCGAGATAAAGAAGAAGCCGATCAGAACGTGAATCGAAACACCAACACCAACAACACCAAGCAAATAGATAAGGTACAGTGGAAAATATGTGCTTCTCACTCATGGGGGATGAATGTGTTAGGACAAAGAATTAAATATATACTTGGAATATGTATTTTATCCACCTTTGGATTTACATGAAGTTTGTTTTCAGCCTATTTCAGAATCAGAGACGGTTTGTAATGTTATGTTTGCACATACAGAGAATTTTGTGTTTGTGATTGGTGCTTAACTATAAACACAGTACAATAGTATAAAGATACAATAATAAAAGATATGTACAATAGAATATGAAAAACAAACAAACAAGTACATAAGAATATGTTCAAATATGTCTGTTGTTGAAGTGTGTATTTAAAGTGTAGAGTTGTACACATATTCCGTTTTCATATATTTGAAAAAAGCAATTTAAAGACGTTGGGCTCTGAAAGATTTACTGAATAATGTAAAGATGTGAAATAATAATAATAGTTGTTAGTTGCAATCCTAAAGAGGACGTAAACCCCATATAAAAGAACATAGAAGCACTTATTTACACACCAGAATGCTGTTAACACACTGCCTGAAGTAATTATTCATAATTTTGTGAAATACTGAGTGATTTCCACCACGTTGTTAGAGGAATGCGCTCTGATGAAAATGGCGCTGTTGTAGATATAGCTTCTTTAAAAATGTTAGTGTTCGAACAATTCCTGTTTTGTCTTTGTTCCTCAGACTTCCTCTATGTACTGTGTGTATCAGGTCACTTACAGTATGTCTGAGAGGCACCAGGTTGACAATGTTCATATGACCTCATGTGTGCAAGTAATTTCTGTTACTTATCACATGTTGACCTTAGACCCGCTGTTGAAGACTTCATACTCGTGTGTTCTTCATTTTTCACCTTTCAGCTCTTCTCAAAAGCACAGAATGCAAAACAGACTGCAGAGGAAGCAGGTAAGTTTACAAAAAAACAAATCTGCCACAGACATCTTTAGCACACCATGTGCTGGGTGCCTTGATGATTTGAAGAATTTGATGATATTGTAATAACTATTGTTACACAAAAACAGGCTGATTTGAGTATGGCTTAAGTGCTGATACTATGATATACGGCACATGAGGGATCGTAGCGGTTAATACAGTGTGTTTGGTTATTTATACTACCTTTTTACTGTTTGATGTACGTGTTTGATTGGCAGACAGGTTGTACCATCAGAATGTGACCACAGTGGGAAAGATTAGAGATGAATGGATGAAGGAACATATCAACGCCTGTGAGGTGAGACTGTTTGGTTACATCCCGAAAGTTTGAATTTAACATATATCATGTAAATGAGCTAAAATGTTTTGTTGTGTTTTCCTTCACAGATGTTTGAGAAACAGGCAATGGAGCGCATTAACTGTCTGAGAAACACAGTCTGGACTCACCTCAACCAGCTATCACAACAGTGTGTGACCAGTGATGAGGTAAGGCCCACAGTTACAGTAACTTTAAAGCTGCTATAATCTGTATTTAAACTGCAGTCTCATGATAATAATTTGTATGGGTTGTTACGCTATTAAACACCCAGCAGACAGACACAGCTGGCAGCTAGCTAGTGAACATAGAGGAGTGTTTAGCAGCTAAAGAGACAGATATATTTTCCTCAGGATTTGGTGGAGACCAAACCAGAGCTAAAGGAAGAGTAAATGTTGGATTTACATTCATCAGGTGGACCCAAACTTTGCTTAAAATGAATGCTTATGTTGCTCGGTACCTGGTGGATGTGTAAACAGGCAACTGTCTGCTATGCTAACACTGTATCAACATTATAAGGTGATGATATGTCAGTGTTGTGTTTGCAGCATAGGCTGTATAAGAAGTGGATATACTTTCTTAGACAAACCTCCAAGCATATCTATCAAACATTTCTTGATTGGACTCTGACCCTTGTTTTCCTGTCTGTGTGTGTGTGTGTGTGTGTGTGTGTGTGTGTGTGTGTGCGTGTGTGCGCGCACATAGCTGTATGAGGAAGTGAGGAAGTCACTGGAGCAGTGTGATATCCAGGAAGATATTGAACACTTTGTCAACCTCAGGCGGACCGGTGACAAACCGCCAGGTATGAATTCAGGAATATTCATTCAAACAGTAATAATAAGTTAATAATCAACCAGTGCTGGAATGCTGAAAGTACACATACACAGGAAGGTAGTTCTCAGACAACACACAAACAATGCACTGTTTGATCAGTTGCTCAGTATGTGAACAATCTTGTTGTCCTCTCTCAACAGCTCCGGTTGTGTATGACAACTTCTACAGTGGTCTGAGGCCTCCAGCTGTAGCTCCGCCCTCTCGACTGCCTCCCCCAATCACCAGGTAAACGAAGAAGAGAGAGCTGCCGCCTGTCTGTTAATGAATCTATCCTTCCATTTAGTATTTCAACCACATTTTCAGAACACTTACTGACTTATTGTTTGCCTTGTTTTGTGAATTTGCAGGAGGGGGCCTTTACCTGATCCAACAAACGACAGTGGAGGTATTTTTTATTTATTTACATTTTATTTCGGATTGATAATTGTCACATTTACAACAACAAAATGTCTGGCAGTGGGTATGAAACAAAATGTAGTTTCAGATTGGAGTTTGTGGCTTTGTTGTCTGGATAGTTTACACACGCTTCTGCTTTTCATACTAAATCACCTCATTGTGTTGATCTTTGCTATGGTTGCAGATACAATCTACTCAACAGTGCAGGACACAGGGTACAGTGTTATCCAATACTAACATGCAGATCTGCTGGAGAAGTTATTGTACATCCCATGCAGCGCTGGCGCTTTGTAATTAGAGGTTGGTTATGTAAGTCTCATCAGTTCCTCTTTTGTGATTTCCTGTAACGATGAGGTCGCACCAAATAAAAATCGGCGTCAGTACTGCGTACATACATATTTCTTCTAGGTTGTGTGGTATTTTGAATATAGAACAGTAAATTAAGTGTTTTCTACATCTCAATGTAGCTTCAGTTGTGTATTTATGTTTTGTGGAGCTATGCTTTTCTCAAATGTTAACTAGAAATCCACGAAATAAGGCAAACTGAGATCTTACTTTTTTTTTTCGTTTTCATTTCCGCTTAGATGTGAGTAGCAATCAGCTGACTGAAAACTTGTGATTAGAAGAATCACACTCTCATTTCCTAACCGTGTGTAGTATGTGGATCACTTGTCTTGCTTATTGCTTTCCATGAAAGTTCTGTTTTTGTCACTCAACCTGCATGATAGCAGTTTGACAGCTGTATGTGCTGAACAACAGGCTTATTTTCTATTGTAGGAAAGGTAAATTCAGCTCTATGCCCTAGATTTACATTCAAGTAATTAAAACAGATATGTGTGATGATGACATGCAATGTTTTCTGAATACTTGAGGATAATTGTTAGAATGTTTGCACTTTAATTTTGCTTTATTTATGTTAACACATAATTTGTAGAAATTGCTACAAACTGTGATTAAGTTTGAAACTGCAGGAGTAAAAGGATTGAATGGCATTTCACTGTGCAGCTGACCTGGTGCTGTTTTTGTGCAAATAAAGTTACCGTTTTTCTCTGCACTTTAAGTATGAAAGTTCCTCTACTCCCAGTTTATCGTCTTCTTTCCAATTGCATCTCTAACTTACTATTTGTCTGTTTGCCTGCATCCACACTTACTATTTATTATTTATACAATGTTTAAGACAGTACTTGATACAATGAAAGATTCAAATAAAAATGTGTACATCTTTATTTCCACCACATTTGTCAACATAATTTTCTACTTTTGGCCCTAAAATTTCCGCATTTCATATGATACTGTTCTCCTCAATGTGAGTAAGAGGTCTCGTTTAGCATCAGTTCATCTTCAGGATGTCCACATCTGTCTGCAGGCGTTCATCCTAAATACCAGGTCTGTCGATGGTGTAAGAAAAGGTATTGATGTAGGTTCTTCAGGGGCAATCAGATCCTTTGGTGGTCCGATATCACTCTGATTTGATCAGATCCAGAATTATCTGGATGGTCCTCTCACCTACAGCAGACAGAGGAAGGTTTTAGCTCATCTAGTAGTTATAGCATATTTCCACATATAAGAAGCACTGCTTAGCCATGCCTTGATAAACTGTAGAGAGCGACTTAAATGCCTTCTGTCTATTATCTGTTGTCAAGAATGGAGAAAAACCTAAGCCATTCAGTATTTATACACATTTTTCGTCATGATTTTGCCGTACAGCCATTGGCACATTGAACAAAAGTGTTAATTTTTGTATTGTGATGCTCGCGTTTACCGTCAAGACTCATCCTCGGGTTCTCCAGCTTCTTCTCCAGCAGAGAGTCCATCAGCTTCCTCAGGTGCTTGAAGATCACACCAATCCGCACAGGAGCCTTTAAGCAAAATGGATTGAATGAAATAAACTTGGAAGAAGATCCATTTCCTTGGCCTAAAAAAAAAGTAATGGACAGATTTGACAACTCCCGAGCAAACCCCGGCGACCTCTGACCTGGAAGTGGATCCATCCATCTAGTGAGATGAGCCTTTCTCTGTGCTGGATATCGATGTCGCCTCCGAACAGCAGCATGGGGAAAGGAGATATCAGGGTGGTGTCTCGCAGGTAGATCTTAGTGTATTTCACCTGTGGATTAACATTGATTAGCACAAATGTGACTTAGAGATAAGCAGACACCACACACTCTTCCCCTCATACCTTCTCCTGGTACAGCAGCCAGCCGTGTGTCTGCAGGTTGCGGTTCACAGATGAGGGGTGGACCTGAGCCTTGCCTTGGGGCGTCTCCACCGTGCAGACCACTCGCTCGAGCACATCCACAGACGGGGTGCACAGGACCCGGGCCACGCTGTCGTAGAGCCCCGCCGCCAGCACCGCGTTCAGGACGGAGATCTGGTGCTTGGACTGCGCCGCCGCCTGTTGCTTGGAGCGAGACGACCAAAAACCCGCCTGCTCCATCATCCTCATCAGCTCGTGCTTCACACCCTGGATAGAAGATGGATCAAACACACACAGGATCAGACAGGAGGTCTATTTAGATTCGAGATAATCTAAATGTGTGTGTGTGTGTGTGTGTGTGTGTGTTACCTCTATTGTAATGAGAGCTGTGCGATTGAGGAAGTGTGTTCTACAGAAGGACATTTCTGCTCTTTGTCCGTCAGTCTGTGACTTCTTCCACCTAACGGTGTGACAGGCAAACAGAAAAATGGTTTATCAGACAGGAAGATATTCTTTCAGACCTTTCAAATACGACATCGAATTATATTTGATACATTTTTAACTATGACATCCGTCAAGGACAGAAAGGCCTACAATTATCTATTAAGTAAATGTATTGAAATTCTATCATAGTTTGAGTGTACTTCCCAGTTGTACATAACAATAATTTCTAGTAATATAGTTAATCAAATAACAAGACATGCCTGCTGTGGGCCCTCACATTAGTTACAGAAATCCTAAGTCTGTTTGAAGTCAAGCCTTTGAAAGTTCTTACCCCAGATATGCATTGTATATCGTCAGGTGATCAGAGTTGGCCAATGCCAGGGCGGCTTTGGCCAGGTTGGCTTCCTCCTTCCTGTTCATCGGTGTGGAGAAGGGAGACTTCTCAGAGATTGCTGCCGCGATGGTTGCCTGAAACAAACCTCTTCTTAATAAGTTTACAGCAATGACCTAATATAGAGACATTAGTCTGAATAAAATACCAAGACATAACCCTCAACCAGTTGCAAATACTCATAGTCAGAGTGTTTCTGAATAAGAAGGCAGTGGGACGTACTATGGGCTCCAGGCAGCCGAGGATAGCTCCGTAGATGAGCATCTTGCCAATCTTCACATTGACGGGCAGACCCGCCAGGTGGTGTCCCAGAGGGGTGAGGAGATGATTGTCTGGGTGACACGCGCCGATCTTCCTCAGCAGGTTGACGGCGTTACTGACCGACTGGGGCTGAGGGGGATCCAGGGCCCGGCTCAGAAAGTCCTCCGGGGAGCCGTACTGACATTTCTACCAGAGAGAGGGGAGTGAAGAACGCCTTGAGCAGAAGCTTAAATAATGTTTCCTCAGTGGTAGAAGGTAAAAGGCCTTTTGTGAGTTTATATTTCTGTGTCTGTGCAGAAATATAAAGAGTATGGTTTTATACCATGATATGAAGGCAGAGCTCCTCCAGTGGGACCCGTAGTATCTCTGGAATGGCGTAATCCATGAAGGTGTTAAACCTGAGATCAAGAGGGTCAAACAAGAGCAGAACAGATCAGCACGGCCTAAAACATGGACTATGTAGTCTTGTTTAATGAACACCTTCTTTACATTTAATGGGAATTGACTTGTTTCCCTGCCGTACCCATCTCCACAAAATTAATGATGACCTCCATACCTGAACTTGGGATAGAGCCTGAAGCAGAAGCCGTTTTGGACACGTCCCGCTCTCCCCTGCCTCTGGAAGGCGCTCGCTTTGGAAACAAAAGTTTCCACCAGGGAACTCATCTGGCTGCTCTCATGGTACCTGAACAACACAGTAGACCGGAGTTAAGTCTTCACTTCCCATTACTGTAATTATTAGCCAGGTGGGATGTTTCTCGGGATGGGAATGTCCATCTCTCGGTGGTTCCACCTCTTTGGTCCACACTAAAATATCTAAACAACAATTGGATGGATTGACATGAAATTTGCGACAGTTATCCATTGTTCCTAGATAATGTATCCTCCTGACTCCGTGATCCTCTTGACTTTTCCAGTACCGTCACCATGAGGTTGAACTTTAACATCCCCGTGTTAGCATTCACTTCTGCAATCTGTTTTAACTTAATGGAAGGTGATGAAATATTAATACTATACCATGCAACATTCTCTCCTGATATTGTTCCTGAGCCCTTACTTATTTTCTTTAGTCTTTCCGGTGTCGATGACAAACACAACGTCGGGAATAGTCACACCTGTCTCAGCAATGTTAGTCGACAAGACAATCTACAGGAGACACGAAGAAGAGCATAGCAGGAGGGATGTTAAAGATCACTGAATAGATTTGTTCCATTACTCGCTCAAATTATTTTATCTGGAGTGTTAAAAATGTATTTTCTTTTTAAAACACACAAAATAATTTGTTTTTTTCTAAGATGATTTCAACAGACTTTCTTGAATAATATGACATCAGCTTGATTGTTCTATGTTCCTATTTCTGAATGCTTCATTACGCCACATTCAGAAGTACCTTTCTAAATCCAGCAGGTGGCACTGTGAAGGCAGAAGCCTGGTCCTTTGAAGAGAGAGTGGAGTGGAGAGCAACGATCCTGTACCTAAAAGAGCCCGACACAAGTGGTAACAGAGAGGCCTGGTGAAAAAGTGAAATATACAGTTTGTGTGCTTCACCATTCTGTGTTTGGTGCAGGACTATTATGAGTGTATCATGGATCCGATCAGTTTGTGTATGTCACCTGTTTTTGTCCCTGAACCTCTTGTCTGAGGAGAGCAAGTCGTGGAGCTGCTGGATGTGAGCCAGACCCGGGAGAAACACGAGAACGGCTCCATCCAGCTCCGCAAATTGTGGCGATTTGTCTGGCAGAGTAAAAAAAATACAGAAATTTAACAAACAAGAGCTAAACATGCAGGATTATGTACTTTGTGCTGGCAGAAACAAGCATGATTATGTGTAGTACCTAGATAGTCGATGAGGTCAACCAGTAAGTCCATATTGATCTTATTAGGGTTCATGTACTGCAGCACCTGCCGAGTCCTGCTGCTGAAGTGGTCAAGATCTGGACCCAGGTCCCAGCCGGAAGAGGAGTCTCTCAATATCACCTCCTGGAACAGACGGAAGTACAGTAGGTAACATCCATGGATAAAACTCCACTACAACTTATACTGTATTCCTGCTGCAGGGAGCACAACATTACCTGGTGCTGTGATGTCTTGCCACCTTTCAGTGTGATAGCGATGCTAACTTCCTCCTCGTCTTCAAGAATTCTCTGACTGTACTCCGAGTCCTTTTCCAGGATGTACCCCGTCTGCTCCACTATATCTTCTAAGTGGAACACCTAAAAAACAACAACACAAGATTGAAAACATCCTGCTTCCTCTGCCACTGAAATACATCTGTGATGGGATTTAATGCAAACCAAACGCAGCCTATCCCTAATACCCACATCCAAAGCCTTCAATATAGACAAAGGGACAGTTGAATTATGTATACAAGTAAACACAAGCTCCTCTTACCTCCACTGGGAAAGTCCTCCCAGGAATGTTGATCACTGGGCAGCGGTTGAAGTAGTTGGAGAACTTGTTACAGTCCACTGTTGCGCTCATGAGGATCAGCTGCAGGTCTGATCTCCTCATAACAACGTCTTTCAGGATGGTTAGCAGGAAGTCTGACTGGACACTGCGCTCATGGACCTGAGAGGATGGAGGTGAAGAGGTGGGGTGAGGACAGAATTGCACTTACTTCGTTGACTAAAGGTCTGTGGATTGTTAGGGACTAGATGAGAGCACAAGGTGAATGGCAGGGTGAATCAACAACTGGCAAAAAACATCATCACACAGGGTGTTTGATGAGATACTGTCAGTACCTCGTCTACGATGATGTGCGTCAGGGAGCTGAGGTGTCTGTCATGCTGTAGCTTCCTGAGCAGGACTCCAGTGGTGCAGTACAGCAGGCGCGTCCACTCCCCAGACTGATTCTCCATCCGGATCTGGTATCCACACGGCGACGACTGAAACCCAATTTCAACATGAAGCAAATTCATTAAAGCAGGCGACAGCGCATCCTATCTGACTACATTATGGTTTATGCAAGAGCTAAGCTCAAGGGTTTATATTCAGGCCCATCAAAAAAGAAGATGTTTCTGTAAAACTGTATTTTTAACCTTTGATCCCGGTCCATCCTCGCAGCCCATCTCCTCGCTGACTCTGCAGGCCAGGCTCATGGCAGAGATCCTGCGGGGCTGGGTCACCACGATGTTGCAGGGCTTCGCCACTTTGCCTCCTGTTAGCAGCTCCTCCAAGAGGAACTGAGGAATCTGGGTACTCTTTCCGCTGCCCGTCTCACCAGCCACCACCACCACAGGGTGGCGCTGCAGGGCCTCCAGGACACGGTGCCGGTGTTGGAAGACAGGAAGCTGCTCTCGCTGTGCCTTGAAGGTGGAATTACTTGGGTTCAGTTTATGCATCTTTAAGATTAAAATATCTTTAATATGGTAAAGTACGATGCTGATGTGTTTTTACCTTCAGTTTGTGGGCCAGTGGCGACTTCCTCAGCTTCATTAAGAGCTCTCTGGATGCCTCAAGTGCCCCTTCCCCCCTCCCCCTTTTCTCACTCTTGTCCTCCAGTTCTTGACCTCCCTCCCCAATATCAAGACTAGCCAGGTTCTCCCAGGACTCTTCAGGCTCTTCATCCCCAGCACTGCCCAGCCCCAGCTGGCCTTGGGATCCCAACTCCAGGCTTTGTTCCTGGTTCTGCTGCTGTTTGAGTCTGGTCAGAAGCCGGGAGATGAACTGGTCTCGAGGTTTGTTGGCAGCAGTGCGACTCTCTTCCTGTTGCTGCTGGTCGCTGTCTCTCCACTCCAGCCACACATCTCTGTAGGTTGGAGGAAGGAGCTGGTGCACTGACTGAGAGAGAAAGATTGATTGGTTATTACAGGAGGATCGGGATTAGAATGAGAGGAACTCTGCCTGGTTACATGCATTATACCTGTCCTTTAATTAGGGTGTAGAGTGCCAGTGTGGCTGCCAGATGTTGAGCCTGCATGCTGTCCTCCGTCAAGATCGTTGGACAAACTTCCAGAACATCTTCAGCCCTTTGCACACGCACCCTGTCGGATGCAAAGACATCAAATCCATACTAAATATTTCTAGATGTAGTAGTTATAAGCTCGATTATGAAGAACAGAGATACACACACACAAACACACACACACACACACACACACACACACACACACACACACTTACTTGGATCTCCAGTATCTACCAGCAGCAACCTTGTGAAACGCCGGTGGTGGACTCTTGGGCAGATTCTTTCGGACCCAGTCGATGAGGAACTGTTTGGGAGACTTTCCCGTCCAGCTGCGAGCTGTGTAGTCAAAATTGCGAATGTCCTTCGGCTCGTTCTTTTTCGCAACTGGAGCTGGAGGAAAAGTAAAATGTAAATCTCTGAAGTTTGTCATCACGAATTCATGAAACAAAGACAAAATTATGCAGACGGCTCCACAAATGTTCGAAATTTGTATCTGATGGTTTGATACAGCAGTATGTTAAATTCATATGTGTTAAAATCCCAGGTTTGGCTATAGTTAGTGATATGGATGTGATCTATGTGTGTACAGCATCTATACGAGAGGTAGTAAACAGTATATTGGGCTTGAATTTCAAGTTGAAGCGCAGCATGTTCAGTTTTATGTTTACTATTTCCTGTAAAACACTTTCAACTTGTTCTGTTCAAGCCACTTGGCTCAGATGGTGTTTATTTGCGAGATGCAAACCTTTCGCCGCAGGAGGGGCCTTTTCTTTTTGTTCAAATAAGCTGAAGCTGACATCCTCTTTGTCCTCGCTGACAGGAAGTATCTTCTTTTCCTTCTGAGGTGCGTCTACCACCTTTAGAGCTGGATTGAACACAGGGTGGGACTCCAGTGGCTTCATTTCTGGAAACAGAAATATACACGTGTTTCATATAAGTATAAGGAGTTAGAAAAAAATGGTTTAATCTCTGCACAGTTAGAGCACACTCACCTTGCTGTATGATGCGTATCCTGTCCTGTGCCATCCTCTGGCCCGCCTTATCTCCTTTTGTCTTGGCAACAGCTGCCATGTCTCTTGCGTCGTACAATTGAGCAGTAAGGGCCAAATACCTGTCATTCTATACAACAAGAAATAACACACATGGTTACGACACCAACATTTACTACACTATCACCACTTCCTTACTTCTGACAAGAGCTGAGAAGCTACAGAAAAAAGAAATAGTTTGATATTTTTTTTTACTTACTGGATCAAACTTTTCCTCCAGTTCAGGATTGTGGGTCTTCTTCCCGGCTTCCTCTTCCTTCTCCTCCTCCTCATCACTGCTCTGCTCTGCATACCGTAAGATCCAATCCTTCATGCTTGCAGCTTCATCCTTCTCTGTGGCCTGGCAACCACAAAGTTTCGATTTTGTGTTACAGCACGCATCTTTTTAGCCAACGCACACTCGTAAATAGACAAACAAACCTTGGTGGGCTCTCTGCAGTCGTTGCTGGGTGCTTTGGGGATCGGGGCTGCAGGTTCCTGCGGAGCGGGAGGCTGGAACTTGGGTCTGCTCTTCTGACTCTCCTCCTGCATCTGCTGGGTAAAACCTTCTGGCAGCTCCTCTGGTATAAAGACAATAAATTAAGGAAGTCACATTTTAACAGCCTTGTGTCCTCAAGAGCTATACGTAGTGATGACTGCCGACGCTCTATTACCATCTTTAAGGTTGAGGCAGAGCCAGTCGAGAGCAGAGTGGAGGTCCCCTCCGTACAGCACACTGCTCTTCATCGCCTCCTCAATGTGTTCTCTCTTAAAGTTGAACTTCTCCAGAGCTGTGTACAGGTCCTGCAAGCACAAACAAGACCACCTGAATACAACAGACTCGGTCATGGAACAGATGTGTATATGTGTGTATTAACAGTGAAGAGAGAGAGAGAGATGATCTTGTTTTTACCATCAACTTTTTGTTCGTAAGTCTGCCGGATATGGGCCCTTTGTCCCCATTCTCCTCTCTGAAGTCATTGATCAGCTTGATGATCTTCTTCTCTAGTTCAGCTTGGATAACAACCTGTTTTAAAGGGTCGAATCCCCTTCATCATCAACATTTTGAATGCTTTTCAGCGTGAAACACACTTGATTATTAAACTAGTAAGAACATGTTACACCAGCGACATTTACTTGGCACAGAGGGAGAGAAACAAATAAAATACACAGTTAAGTTACTGAAACAATGACTTACTTTAAGAATCGACTTGTCTGTGACTCCACCCGTGTCAACCTGGGCAGTGTTGGCAAGACTGTAGGTCTTTGGAGCTGGAGGAAGTATAAAAACAAACAGAATTGTGTCACTTAACAGCAATGTATGTTGATGCTGAGCCAAATGTCATGCTCTCCTAACCATCATGTTCACTGTTTAGTCTGAAAATGTCTAATGGGCAAGCAACTGTCCATCACAAGTGTCCAGAGCCCAAAGTCTGACAAGCTGTCACAGCAGGATGGTGTCACACTCCATAACATGAAATGAAGAAAGGTAAGAGAGGGGCATTTTTGATGATGTAACCTGAAAGCTTTTGGTATTTTTTACATGACAAATAACTTACATTAAGAATACAATGAGGGACTACATTGAGGTCCCATTTGCAAAAGGTGTTACAGTGGAATATGCACTAGCCTACACTAATATATACTATCAATAGAATACATGAAGTCACTGCATACAGGGTTGAACACAACAGTACGGACGCCTATCTAATATAGCAGCTCTAACTACAGCCTGGGACACAACCATATCAACACCGTTTTCAGCTTTTACTATGTTTTTTTCCTCGAACTATGAAACCAACAGCCACGCAATACCACCTTTTGATTTGTTGTCTTTTCCTGGTTTAGCCAGCTTATTGTTGGCTGTCTGTTTCTTCGGATCCTCCGCCGCAGCAGCACCAGTCCTGCCCGCTGCTGCTGCTGCTGATGGGGCCACTAGAGTAGCCGCTTGCACCGCCGATTTCTTCTTCTTTCCACCCATTTGGTCACCAAAACGCTGCCTGTCTGCAGCTCCTCTATGCGGCAATGTGATATCAAGTCATCGGAAAAGTCCGGAAATGTTGTGGTTATGAATAGAGGGCTGGAAAATTAACGCTAACGTGTATTTCTCTCCGTATTCATGTCGGGTTGGGTAACTTTGGGACAACCCAGCCGCCGTACCGGAAGTAATACCGAGCAGCAAACCTCGTGTTGTATTGTGGGAAGTGTGCCTAACAATCATGGCTGACGCTTTTGGAGACGGCTTGTTCAGCGTGTTTGACGATGAACAACAAACCACCGCAAGTAGAAATATCCCTGCTTCCCTGACACCAGCAATTGGGTAAAGGCTTTTTTGTTTTTGCAAAATAATGTTTCTTATTTGAAGGGTCAGAAGAGTCGATGGTACCTGAACGTATCATCATGTCTGTGACTTAATGCTAGGTCAGTTAGCTAACGTTAACGGTCGTTAACTCGTTAATGAAACTTAAAATAAAGCACCTGGTTGTGCTGATAAACGTATGCTGAATATTTGCTTTAGTTAAATATAATGTAGCTAATGTTCAACATTGTTTTAATACTGGCACATTCAAAGTTACAAGCTGGCGTTAGCTTGACTGTTCATGTAACGTTCAGGTGCAACGCTAAGTGCGAATGTAATATTAAACCAGGACAGGCTCAGGTAACAACAGTTCTGTGTTTTTCCAGGAAAGTTATCCATAATAATGGCACCGACAAGGATGCTGCTCCGTCTGCCGCGGTCAAGAGGGAGGCTGACAGTGACGGTGGAGAGGAGATGGTGTTTGGGAAGAAACCCCGACACGAGACAGGTTCTGAACTAAAGTGAGATGAGTTGGAATTTTAAAACGGTTTCTGTACAGTTATGTGCTGTTGTAACTTTAACTGATAGAAGGTATCTTTACAGTCTTGCAGAGGTTATGCCCCAAGTGAAGGTGGAGCAAGTTGAAACGGTGGAAGGATGCTCACATGAGGTAAAGAAAACAAATCCAAGCAAACTGACACATGGTTGACAAATAAAAACTAGTAACATGTCGGGTACCACAGCTGCTTAAAAACTATTTGTTATGGTGATTGTTGGGGAGAGTGCCGTCTAACGTGTCACTCCAATGGCCTTCAGTTATCAAGATGGCCTTCAAGATATATTTTTCAATGTATTTATTATTTGTCTTAAATTTAAATTGTCGAATTTTTCCAATTTATAATGTAAAAACTTTGGTTGTTAACAATTCTGTCTTTCCTCAATAGGTCGCACTGCCTGCCAGTGATGAGTACAAACCACTGAAACCGAGAGTGGGGAAAGCAGCCAAGGTATAACGCATCTTTAAATTGTGTCCTTTAGTTTGTAATATCTTGTCTATTCTGGAAGGGGGCAAAATTAATAAGCAGACTTTTGTTGGAAACATTTTTCTAACTTTAAAACAGCAGCACATTGTTTCTAAAAGGAGAATACTTGCACATTATCACACCTTTACTTTATGAGGAGTTCATTTAGATAATATTGTGCATTGTGTACTTGCTTATTGCACCTGGAGGTTTGTTTTGTTTTGACATGTCTTGCTTGTCTTGCAGGAGTACCCTTTTGTTCTTGACCCGTTCCAGCGCGAAGCCATCTTATGTCTCGACAACAACGAGTCGGTGCTTGTGTCCGCTCACACCTCTGCTGGCAAGACTGTCTGCGCTGAGTGAGTATCTTCAGGAGTTGTGTTCAAAATGAATTTCTTACTACAGTAAGAAATTCATTTTGAACTGTTGAACTTTGTCTGGAGTCCAAAATATGCAGTTGCATGCACCCAAACTACAGAAAATACACCTTTAGACTTGCAGCGTAAAGTACATTATGTCAACATACAGAAAAGTACATAAAGATCTGAAATTGTTACATTAAGGCAAGTAAATGTAATGTGTTACTCTCACCCTTGAGTACTCTTAACGGAGTTTGTTCCTTGTCTGTTTTGGTGAGTAAGGAATGCATATTTCTTGGTAGAAAAGGCCCACATTGACAGCAGTCATAATTGTCTTTGAGATGAAATATTGGTTGACTTATTCATCTGACTTGCTTTCTGTTGCACGGTCATGTCAGTGAATGTCTTATGTCCTCTTGTAGATACGCCATTGCACTGGCCCTCAGAGAGAAACAGAGAGTGATCTTCACCAGCCCCATCAAAGCCCTCTCCAACCAGAAGTACAGAGAGATGTACGAAGAGTTCCAGGATGTGGGACTGATGACTGGCGACGTCACCATCAACCCCACTGCCTCCTGCCTTGTCATGACCACAGAGGTAAGAGGTCTGGAGTCATTATGGTATTGGTCAAATATCACCGGTGGTTTTTAGAAGACTCCTGCAGGTTTCGGTGTGCAACTTGGAGTAGAAGCATCACTGAGTGGTTGTTTTAACATGATAAACTGCCTTTTCCCCCAGATCCTGAGGAGCATGCTGTACCGAGGCTCTGAGATCATGAGGGAGGTGGCGTGGGTCGTCTTTGACGAGATCCATTACATGAGAGATGCAGGTGAGTACAGAATACAAGCTGCACAGACACACTGTTGACTGACGTTCAGTGTGGTTTGGATCATCAGTCCAAACCACACTGGACCGATTCATTCTTAGGTGTCACGCCTTAGTGATTCAAGATTATTTGCGGCAGTCACTAATTTATGAATAGAAGCTCCATGGGGTAAAATTCTTCTTGTAACAAATGCCTCTGCTGTCTGTATTTCAGAGCGCGGTGTGGTTTGGGAGGAGACCATCATTCTTCTTCCTGACAACGTGCATTACGTCTTCCTGTCAGCCACCATCCCCAACGCCCGGCAGTTTGCTGAGTGGATTACCCACCTACATAAACAGGTGGGATGTTGTACCGGCATATATTATAATTATAAGAATCACAGGAATACTTCACCCACAAAATGACTATTTGTACATCAATTACTCGCTACAGATTGCCTCAAACTATTGAAGAAAATGTTTGTTTTCATGGTGAACAGAGAACCCTAAAACAAAAGGAGCAGTTGCGTTGTGAGTAGTGCGATTGCATTAGACGGTAGTGGTGGATAATAAGTACGATTTTGGCCAAAATGGTTGTTTGGGAAGTATAAGAATAAGAATAAGAATTCAAGGTTACATGCGGTGAGTCATTTATATACAAAGGATCATTTTGTGGGTGAGGTATTCCTTTAAGGTACCTCCTCCTGTATGTAATATGAGGAGCCGCAATTATCCGTCTTCATGAAAGCATCAGGGTAACATTTCTTCGTGGTTTATTTTTTTCATTTTGTTCCATAATTAATGAAGTGTTTCTGTCTCGTGTCTCCTGTAGCCATGCCATGTAATCTACACAGACTACCGTCCCACTCCACTGCAACACTACCTCTTCCCAGCAGGAGGCGATGGACTCCACCTGGTTGTTGATGAGAATGTACGGCTGCCTACAAACTGATTTCTGAAAGAGAGTTGGCTTATTTATCCTAAACAAGTCGGACTAGAAACAGACCACATGTGTTTCTTTGTGTCCTTATTTTGGATGCATTAATCAGCATCAGTCTACACACGATAGGCTACATAACGTGTGTGTGTGTGTGTGTGTGTGTGTGTGTGTGTGTGTGTGTGTGTG